AGGATATATGTCTTGGCATGTGAATTCCTGAGTTTTTTAAGGCCACATTAGTCTTCCTTACCGAGGTGAAGACACAGATCATTCCTTTGAATTTTGTCAGCTGGGTTAACTGGAATATATTCAGTAAGGGGGTGGGGAGAGAAAAGGAAGGGGATAGAGAGCTAGAGGCAAGGAAGAATGGAAAGAAAAAAGTAGTGGCAATGCAGGCTAGAGGAAAATAGGAAGACTAATAGATTTCAATAGAAATACCCTTCAAATTGCTCTGAGAAAAACTTTAAGAACAAATTTGCACATACAAGGAATCTATTAAGTAACTGGCATTCTGAGAACTGACATAAGAGGCAGATTGAAGTAGACTCCGCCACTCCCCATTTTGGAAATTAAAGTTTCTTACAGGTATTAGATAAATTGTCTTTGGCTAATTTAAAAAGAGAGAAAAGAATTTCAATTAAAAAGAGCCCATATTGTAAGAATCATTAGTGCCATTTTCCCCTGTAAAAGTCTAAAACACTTTTTTTTTCTTTAAGGAGAAATGAGGACCTATTATTGTAAGACTCAGAAAACTATAGAGGGCAAGGATTCAAAGAACAAGCTATAGTTATCTTCCTAGTTCTGAACAAACATTTACATGGGAAAGATGTTCTTACAGTTGCTTGTGCCTTATATAGTGTTTGAGAGAGCATTAAAAAAAAAATGGTCCCTCCATGGCTTAATGAGCACTAACAAATTATAATGGAAAATAGCCATTCCTTATACAGCTATAATGTAAACACATCAGAGCATGTAAATCAGTAACCCTTCTATTGCAAAAGTGACAAATAGATTAATGAATGTTGCAAAGGATGGGTAAAGAAATCGACTGGGCTACCGATTCTGACTATGGACTTTCTCCTCAATATACTATTACTTAACTTTATTAAATAAGGCTTAGGAAAACTGTAACATTTTGCTCACCAACAGAGCTATATTTTACTTAGGGTAGAAATTGGCTAGTCTATAAAAATTAAATTACACCCCTTTCACTGTATCTAGTCAAGAGGAAAAACTCTAATTACAAGATTACACTGTCAAGCAAATGCTAATTCACATTCTTTATATACCAGGTTAAAAATTCAAACTTGGGGAGTATAGTGTGAAATGAAAATCAATATTTGAAATACCTTGCAGTTTTCAATAAGTGTGAAATGACATGATCAAATGCATTAATAAGGAGATGTTAATTTACTGAATACACTATATGGGAGCATCAGTCATTTATTATGCAAAAATTTAAATACCAATTAGCAAAAACAATAAAAAATGATGAACCAAACCTTCCCTTTGTCTGATCTTGTGCCATATCACCATCAGACTCAGGAAATGAGTAAAGGAGGGAAAGATCAGGAGAAAAAATAACCCCAACACCTAATAAGAATGTCATTCTGGAGAACAGGTAAAGGTTAACTTTAATTTTAAACATACTTTCAAGTGAAAATGAAATGTCCCAGCTTCAAAATTCCTAAGAGCTGAGTTTGCAGACTTAATACAGAGAGGACTAACTGAAGGCCTCTACATATTGCATTAGTATTTTTTGAAAGGGAAATTTTTTCATTACTGCTTGATGTCAAACCTGCTTGGTTCATGACAGTCCTTCCACTTTCCCACTGTTTAGTCTACTTAGAATCTCAACCTATGAAAACTGCTGGGTACAAGCACAATTTTCAAATCCATTTGGGGTTGCTCATTTTCTTTTACACCACATCCTTCTTTATGCTAGACAAGTTGCATCTGCTACATGTAATCATAAGGACTAAAAAACCAGTCAGTTTAATAAATCCAGTGGCCTCCAGGTTGTAGATGCTAAAATTCTCTTAAGTTCTCACAACTTCATGGTACAACATGGAAGATTTAAACCAAGTTGCTGGTAAATGTTATTGACAATTCAGCGTAGTCCAGACTTGCTAGACTGAGTTCTAGTGCCTAATTGGCTATCTGGGTGACCTGGGGCAAGACACTCTGGGTCTCAGTTTCTATACCTGTATTAGAATGGAAGATCTCTAAGGAGCCTTCACATTCTATGGTTCTTAAAGCCATGTTATGTAATTTTCGTGTACTATTTATCAGTTTTTTGATAAATTTGATAAAAAGATCTTTTAAGATCTTGCTTCCTAACAGTGACCAAAAACCATGTGTGAGAAAGCAATAGGTGAAGTGGTGAATGGGTGTCTGGGGTTAGCCTGTAATTAATTTAGTGTGTGGAAATTTCCTGGTTAAGTTGAAATGTGTGGCATAGAAGTCAATGTGGCATTTTCATTGCCTTCATCATCATTTAATGCAGAAATACTACAACTATTCAAGTTTCAAACTTATGTTAGGGATGGTTCTAGAAAAGCTTAATTGTTGTATACACAAACCTACTTAGTCTTGGCTTCCCCACTAACTACTTGGACCTTTGGCTCCATGAATTTATTTGACTTTCTCTAGCTTCATGGCAGAAATGGATAACACCACAAACCTGTCACAGAATTTTCCAGTAGATCATATGGTTAAGAATCTTAGAAGGAAGGCTTTAGGTTTCACTTCTTTTCTCCCTCTCCCTCTCCTTCTCTCTCATCCCTTCCAGTTCTAACTCCCATGGTCCGCATCTATAAACCCAGGAAGAAATCCTATAGAACAACCTGGGTTAGAGGAAAAATTGCCCTGGCATGGAATAGTGGAAAGAATGCTCTATTTGAAGCCAAAGGCTCTGTTCTACTCCCAGGCCTTCCTCCTCCTTTCTGTGTGACATTAAACAAGTTGGTTCATCTCTCTGGCTCTCAGTTTCCTCATCTGTGAAATGAGGGCAATGGACTATATGACCTCTAAGTTCCCTTTCCAATCCTAAAGCTCTGATCTTGCTTTTACTGTTAGCAGAAAGTTGTATAATTTTCTTCTGGACCAGAGTTTCCATATCTTTAAAACAAAGTTATAACACTGGCCTTATTTTCCTTTTTAGGTGGTTATGAGAATGAAACAAAGAAGCACACTGAATATCACATATAAATTACTATCCTTGGATTCGTTTATGAGAATGCCAACCTCTCACTGAAAAGTGATATCCCTTCTGGTTATGTTTCTGTTAAGATTGATTTCCTCTTTTTTTTTTCTAATCTCTGACTCAACCAGATTCAAGGTAATAATACCTAAGGAAGCAATTCTAAAAGACTGAAGAGCTGCCTAAAGCCGTCTACTAGAGATCCCATTTTGGTAGACTCTAAACTACTGTTCTGACTGTTTGTAAGTACCAGTGAAGAATCAATAGCTAGTGACACCATCTAAAGTCACCAAAGCCTCCTTTGGTACAAGAATGGCAAAGTTATTTCTTAAATAAAATGCTCAAACAATGACTGGTTAAATACAAATGTCAAAGAAACACTTATCAAAATGACCTATTATGCTAGAAACTCATTCTCAGTGTAATTTTTAAAACATAGAACAAAATCTTGAAACTGAATACCATAAAATTCCACAACCTCCCCTCTTAAGACATGTTTCTTACCCCAGCAATTTTTTCTCAAGGTGTTTAGAAACTTTTTTTGGGGAAAGGGACCTGGATTCCAGCTGTCAAATAAAAATAAGAATCAAGTACTCAGGAAACTACATATGTACCTCATCATTGAAATTACAAGCCATTGCCCAGGAAATGGTTGGATTAGATGGCACAGTTGGATAAGAGATTCCTACAGAATTCCTTGGAAGCACTCCTCTCTCTCCCCATCCCCACCCCCAATATAGTTTCAAACTGACACCCTTTCATTTTCATTTGAAAGTCACATTTCATCTTCTGTCATTCAGTTCCCCTCAAATTTAGGGGTAATGTTTCCCAGAGAAGAAAATGCTATAAAGGGTTCAGTCTGGGGGATAGTAGCCAGTAGTTAGATATAATATTATAGATATAATCTATATATAGGTATATAGATATAAAAACAGTTCTAAAACACTTTACAACCTACAAAGCTATTTTCTTATTTTCACCAAAACTATTGTTTGTCAATGATCCTCCAAAAGATAATATTTCCTAAACTGAATTTGACTCACTTAGATTTCTTATAAAAGACTGGATTTGATGATATTCTTTCAAAGGGTCCAAATTTCAGCACACAGATTTCACCTTGGAATTCAAGTCAGTGTCAGGTGCTCAGCACGGAAACTCAGCCACTCAGGCCCTGGAAGCAATGTTTCTGTTAAGTTTTAGAGGATTTGAGGGGAATGGTTTCTAACCCAAGAGTGAATCTTTAACCACAAGACAGTTTGGAAAGATTTCAGTACTGGAGTCAAAGGCACCTCAGACAGGATCCTCCCTTCCCCCTTTACTTTAATAACTTACAAGACTCTTTGCAATCAATTTATCAACAGCAATCATGGTGGGGCTGAGAACTGCTTTCCTTTGAAAGATCTTGGCAATTTGTGACTGGAAATTGATGCATTAGTCCTAAAATTAAATAAAGATCCTACAGCCTTCTTCAAAGAAATATTGTGTGTTTCTATGACAAAATTCATTTTTCAAGCACTGACCTCTGGGGAACTTCAACTGGCTCTATATTTCAGCCTGACACGTCTTACATCCCACTGTCTAGTTGCCCATAGAAGAAACTGGGTTACTCATATATTTCCCTGACTTGTGATCATCCTTTAGCATGGGGTGGCCACCTAAATAAATGTCAAGATGAAAGAGCCACTAATTTAAATGAATTCTCTCTCTCAAGTCTCCAGAGGAAAAACCCTGGTAATTAACTCTAATGAGATTAAAGTAACTTCCAACTATTCATTTTCCCAGTCTTTCAAAACAAAATCTGTGACAACCACAAAGAGCTTCTGTGAAGTTTGGATTTAGTCAAAGGGCTGCACTTGAGGACCTAAAGGGCCACATGTAGCCTCGAGGCCTCAGGTTCCCCACGCCAGAGCTAGTTAAATCAAAGTCAGTCCCTCTTATGGTAATTTAAGAACTTCCTTTGGGGAGCAGAGAGTTTTTGGAGTCTTACCAGAACTTTGTTCCATTACTTCTTTCTGACAAGTGTCTTGGACATTGACTGTACAGTTCACAATGAATTCAGGGGAGGAACAATCATCGAGCTGGAATTCTTCACACTGATAACACTGGATCTGGAGGGCAAAACCTGGAGGAACAGACAATCACTATCTGTGAAATACCGCAACGTGTCTTGTCACACCCCGAAGGGACTGAACCCAAATAAACAAAAAGTAATTCTCTCCTCCCCTAGAGCAAAGTAAAGGATCTAATTCCAAAGAACCAGAGTACCGCAAAGGGATAATACTTGAGCCTTCCATCTTTCTGGCCTACCCCCCCCCCCCCCCCCCGCCACCCTCACCTCAGCATTTCAGTTCCCTTATTCCTTTCTTAAAGATAGTTCAAAGGCCATCCATGGGAGAAAGGAGGTTTTGTGGCCCTGCTAGCGTAGGACGTGAGAAGAGCAGTAAGTCTCCACTCAGCACCAATTCATTTAACGGCTAATTGGTTACACAGGACTTAATGATTCTTTTAGCCTTATGTACAATTAATGTGCAGAACGACTCTTAAAACATATATGTATATATACACATACACATATGCATGTATACATATATTTTTAAAGGTCATACTCAGAATTTCACACCACCACACCCCCAGGAACTGGCAAATAGACGTTTGGTATCATGCAGCGATCTTGCAGCGCCCCCGTCGGTCCCCCAAGCCCGGCTGCCTTTCAGACCCCGCGGTTCCACAAAAGGGATTGGCTCCCTATATTGTCCATTACTAACATATCTAGTTGATGTATTCCTCGGCATCGTAACGTGTTGCAGCGCGATAGGGATAAGCTTACACCCAGGACTAGAGTGGGGAGGGGGGCGGCCGGATGCATCAGGACAGCCTAGCCCTCTCCTCCTGGTGCCTCTACCATACCACCCTTCGGGTAAGGGCATATTTGCTGATGAGGTCAGCAGTCCAAGAGACCAGGATCAAAGGAGTTTTTCTACCGCTCCTCCATTGCAGAGGTTTGGGGGATCATTGAGGGATTGGAAACGAAGTCAATCAGGAAAAGAGAGAAACGGTGTCGTATTGCGATCGCCAAGACCTACCTAATCTGGTCGAGTCTGGAAGCTGCTACTTCGCTGCCCTAGGGGAAATGAGCCCTGGAGCCTACTATGGTATGTTTCCTCGCCCTCCCCGCATTCCCCACAGGTAAGCCCTCTTCCCCTAAATACAATAACCAGACCAGGAGCCAAAGGGGCAGGGTGTCTCGGGTGCTTTGCTCACCTGTCGGCTACGCTACTCCTACAGGCTGTTGAATGAAGAATAACTTTGCGATGGTTTGTGGATCTTGGAGGGGGGAGCTTTTTCCTCCCACCATTGCAGATGAGACAATTTTCTTACTCCCTCTACATCCCCGAATCCTACACCCCAGATGCTCAGTAAATTCAACCCCAAATAAATACAGAGGAGCCCAACGGACTTCATTTCTTCTTTTTTTTTCCCTCCTTCTCTTCATTCTTCTCCCTCAGTGAGGGAGTTGGAGACTTTCCCAGTCTAGCACCTCTGGACTACTGACGCGGTTGCAAAACTCCCCCTCTCAAGCCGAAGCACTGAACGCAATCAGATAAGCAGGTGGGTGCCACTGGCAAAAGAGGGGGAGAGTCGTGAGAGAGACAGCGTGTGTTTCTGTGTGTCTTACCTGGAAGCAAAAACAATCCCCAAAAAGTAGTAACGATACCGAGGAACCACATCCTCCCGGAGCCGGCAGACTGGGAGCGGAAGGTGCATCAGAGACGGCACCGGTTGTGGCGGCTCCTGCTGCTTTTGCTGTGGCCCTCGTTGCAGCCGCTTGTGCTACCGCCGCCGCCACGGAGAGAAGCCCCAGGTGCAGCCAGCAGCGCCCACATCGCCCGGCTCAGGGCTCGGGGCTCGGCGCTCCCGGGCTCCAAGCTTCGTGTTCTGAGCTCTGCGCGCTCTGCTCTCTTTGGCTGTCTCCGCGGAGTGCCGCGCCTCAGGAGTTTGCAGCTGATAGTGAAGGAAAGTACCCAGAAAGCCAGAGCACCCAAAAAAAAAAAAGTCTCGCCTCTTCTTCCCACCTCCCACTACAAGCACCACGTGACGGCAGCAGAGTTGGGGTGGGAGCGCGGGGAGGGCTGGTGCCATCCAGCCCCAGCGCTATCCCACCCCTTTTCTTTTCTTTTCTTTCCTTCCTTCCTTCCTTCCTTCCTTCCTTCCTTCCTTCCTTCCTTCCTTCCTTCCTTCCTTCCTTCCTTCCTTCCTTCCTTCCTTCCTTCCTTCCTTCCTCCTCCTCCTTCTCCTCCCTTCTCGGAAAGGGAGGGGAAGGGGCGGTGAAAGTTTTTCAAGATAAAAAGCAAGGGACTTGAAAAGGGATTGTATGAGTAGATAGAATAGATGCTGCAGGTGAAGCTCCGATCCGTCAATCCTAGACAGTGAAGCAGGTGGAGAAGACAGGGAGGTCGCGGGTATGGAAAGGCGCGCGCAAGCCTGTGTGTGTGTGTGTGTGTGTGTGTTCGTGTGTGTTCGTGTGTTCTTACGTCCGTATCTGTAGACCATTTCGCAGTCCACTCCTTCATTCTCCCCGTGCCTGCCGGGCCAGCCCTTCCAAAGAGTCCCAGCCTGCCTTCACAAAGGAAGAGGCACATCCTGGGGAGATTCATGGTTAGTTCTCGGAACAGACGGAGAACGGACCTCAGAAGAAAGAAGACCACGGACAGGTTTTGAAAAGGAAGGGAGAGGTTTCTACTCTATCAAAGTTGCCCACCCCCACGTGAAGCTGTCTTGGCGTTACTCTTTGCCGATCGGCCTTCACGATCCTCTCTTCCCACCCCCTTCAGTCCCTCCTCTTCCTTTAGTCCTCTCTTCTGGCAGAACTCGGCTCTCGAGGCTTGGCCGCGGATCTGCATGTAGCCAGGCTATCCCCTGCCACGAAGCACTGGCTTCTGTCCTCCCTTCTTTGAGCCCCTCACGCGCTGTGCTCAGTCTGGCTACCCTCGTCTCTTGGCTTAGGAGGCTGTAGTTCACGGACCCGAAATGCCTACTGCTACCAATTAGATAGAAATCTGCTGGGGCAGGAGTGACGTAGAGTTGAAAATAGGTCTCCTGAGGTCATTTCTCCTCCCATCGCCCTCTCCCCTCCTCTTCCTTAAGTCTTTGGGGCAAGTGGTCCTGCGTCCTCTTTTTAGATAAGGAAAAGAGCTGTAGAAAAGCAACTCAGCTTTTGCTGAGACTTCCCCCCTCCCTCCCTTTTATTGCGCTATCTCCGCTCAAGGCTGCAACTGGTGAGGGTGGGTTGGTATTCGTGCCACTCTATCCTGTGAGATCCTTCTCTCTGGTTCTCTGGGGCTGGCTGGTGTCGCCCAGACAGTAAACTGCCTGTACTGTCCACCCACCCACCCCCGCCCTCTCTTCTTTGCTCTTGTCGCAGCATGCTGAGTCCGTTCTACAGTCCCCTTTCTCCTCACTCTCCATCTCCTCTTTCCAAACCTCATGCACACAACCTAGCTCATTCGGCCCGCCCCGAAAAAAAAAAAAACAAACCCAAACCAGGAACATTCGATTTCCCTAGAAATAGCCTTTCTCTCTTCTACCATCCTCCCGTCTTCTCCCTTCCCTCTGGCCATCTCTTGGGGGGTGGTGCCCACAAACCTGTACGTTGGTCACTTATTTCCCCATCTAGTGTGACTAGCAGGTTTAGCATTGGGTTTAAATTACTTTCGTGTAATTCGGCCGGGATAATAGTTCCACGTCTGTACCTGGCTCTTTTTTTCTCTTCTGCGCTCCCCCTCCCCTTTTATTCCTGGATGGTTAACCCCACTGGGAAACAGAAATGCATTTCGACAGTGGCTCCAATCTTATCTATCTCTGGAGCAAGATGTCCAGTATTCTTTATGGGATTCATTGTAAGGGCATGAGTGTCAACATCATTCAGATAGCTCCTGTCTGTTTTTAAGTAGCCCTTTAAGATACTTTAAGCTTACCATGCAGCTGTGTATGATAGGCCTTTTTATTCAGAAATGAAATGCAAAAGAATTTTTTAAAAGTCAGAAAGATGAGAAAAATTACACAATAGTCACTTGGGATAAAATCCAAATAGAATAAATTGCACAAATTAACCAAATAACACTGATCATACAATATATTTTTTTTAAAAATGAACATGTGCTAAAGTAACCACATATATCCTAGAAATATTTCCATTATACCTAGTTTACAGGTTCATGTACAAAAGCAGTTATAAATAGTTCACATCTAGAAAAAATACACATAACCTTTAAAATAGATTTTATCCTTACATATAAACAGTCTTCGTAGAAAAAAATGGATATGAAAAAGTTAATTTTTTTTTTAGCACCAACCATTTTTTTTTGATTAAAAAAGTATAAATTGAAAATGAGTTTTCATTTCTGGAAGCTCAGAATTGATTGAATTGAGATCAAATTGGAGCTGAAGGTAAAAATAAAAACTGTTATACTCAGAAACATAGAAAAAAAGACTATGTTTGGAAGGTTGCAAGGAGACCTTAGAGGTAATACACTATTAGAAACAGTACTAAGTCACTTCAGACATATATCCTTTTCAATTAGGGCCTCCCCCCAGAACCCTCTTCAAGTTGGAGTAGAAATACGAATGATTATAGTAACTCAGAGCTTGAATTACCCCATCAACAATTTTGAAATTGCACAAAAATCAAAACTTTAACCAAATTAATATTTCAAAATGGAAATCACCATGTTTCTTAATGTGGTTTTAGGAGGCCCAGTTTTTTGTTTAAGCAGTGTCCCTACTTACAGTTTTCAGACTAAAAGAATAAACTTTTTAAAAATTTTAACTAAAAGTTTTTGTTAATATTAACATCAGCTTAAGAAAGTTAGTAACCTGTTCTTTCAAGAGCATGGCACTAATTTATTGCTGTCATTTTTTTTTTTTGCTACAAATATAATCTTTTCCTCCAAAATTTACAACTTCTGTACAAGTATTCAAAAAAAGTGCAAAATTAAGACTTTTGTGTCCTGTGTGTATTTTTTTTTTCTTCATGCACCACAACAAATGCAGTCTGTCTTTATTGCTGTGTCATGAAAGTTAGCCAGAGAGCAGCCTGCTGTGAATCTTAAAATCTCGGCTGTGTTGTTTCAATAGTATATTTTATTTTGTGTTTTTTTCCCCCAGTTCCTTAAGTGCTCTATTCACAGCCCACTGGGGGGAAAAAGTCTTTTATACATCATTTGACCCTTGACTTGCACAGGAAGAGAAGCTGTCATATAAAGAATCACTTAAAGACTCCAAATTATCTACACCAGGCCTATTGGAGCTTTTTAAAGACGCATCTTCATTTTTTCTTTTTTCTTCCCTTTGTCTTTCAACCTTATTCAGACAGTTCTCTTTTTCTAATAAAATCACACTATTGCTGTTAAGTTTATTGAGAGACTCCAGGGAAATTTTAGATAATCTATTGTCAGAATCTTCTTTTGTTTCTTCAAGTTGTTTCAATTTCTGCAATAAAAAAGGGAAAATATTAGAAACATATTTCTTGGGGAAATCAAGTTATATTCTCCAATATTCAATTATTGTCTGGGCAAAGTACAGTTTTAAAGGGATAGATTGCACTTACAAGCCTTTAACTATCTTCCAGCATAATTAGATGTAATAATGAAGTCAATTTTGGGGGATAAATCAGGACTTTAATCATTTTACTGAGAGAAATAGGTCCCAATTTGCAAAACAGTTAAGTGCCACTTAATTTCATTTTAAATGGCTGAATTTGAAATTTGTTCATATAAATTGCCTTATTTTTCTTAATCAGAGTTTTGGACTTCTTTTCAGTTAATTTTATTGGATAACTATTTTCACACATGAAAGGACGTTGGATTAGTTCCAAAAGTTAGAAACTTCTGTGGGTTTTTGTTTCTAAAAGCATAAACTCTATAAAGCTGCCATAAAATTTAGATACATGTTCACTTGTCAGAAATAGCTTCTCTATTTCTGTGTCTAATATACCATGTCTGGCCTGTGTCTATGTGCTTGCACACATGAACATTTAATTTCTAGCGAGATCCCTGTTCAAGTAGTCTCTACAATGTTTCCTCCTCCTTTTCAAAGCTGAAAAGTCTCAAACAAACTTTGCAGGAAGGCATAATAAGACTTTGACAGAGCCCCTGTCTTCTTGCAGGTACTCTTAATTCAGCTAGGGATAATTGTGGAATATAATTGGAGGGTTCCAAGTCTCTCTGAAACATTGCCTTTATAAATAGTCCCCCTTTTAGTGAAATCCTCTAAACTCGAAGGAGATGAGTGACTCAACTTGAATAAAGTCAATTGCTCTTATGGCTCTGGTCTGCAGGATGGGGAAGTGGGCATGACAAAATAAATCAATCTAGAGTTAGAATCTGGAAGACATCTTGCTTCCCCCCTTCCTCTCCTCACCCTCCCTACCCCCATCAACCACCTTTTTGCCACCTCCACATAATGGGAAGGAAGAAGTGGGGATGAAAGTTCTAATGATTAAAGTATTTTGTAATTAACAAATAGTCCTTTATGAAAACTTTGTTTAGGAACTCAAAAGTAATCAGGGGTGTAAACCTGCAGCCTCGAGGCCACAAGTGGCCTTCTAGGTCCTTGGGTGAGGCCTTTTGACTGAATCCAAGTTTTATAGAACAAATCCTTTTTATTAAGGGGATTTGTTCTGTGAAGTTTGGATTCAGTCAAAGGGCCAGAGCCACAAGTGGCCTGGAGGCCATAGGTTCCCTACCTCTGTATCTAGCTTAACAACACTGACCACAAAATTTGACTGCCCTGATCAAAGTTTCCCTTGCACATGATTCTCTCTATTAACCAGTTACTAGGTGAATGTAAGGGAATATAAGGGAACGCTGTAAGGGAAAAGTGTCCACCAGACCTGGAATCCATAGTTTAGGGAGGATCTTTTGACTTAGGAAAAAGAAAAATAACTTCCAAGGCTCTGTATTTCGATAAGCCCAATAAAATAAGGAAGGGGGGGAGTGGCTAATGAGAACCCAATCCTTATGCCATACTGAGTGTACCCTGTCTGGTGTAATCCGCTATGTGAACTTGAATGGGCACATATTCTGTGGCCTTTTTTGTCTACTTACTGTGTTTCAAAGAGTGGCCTTTTGATTGGATGCTGTGCTAGAATTGTATGTAACATACCAAAGGTA